GCGCTGCGCCCGGCGCCCCGAAGCCACTACGCCCGCTGCGCTCCCGGTCCGGGCTCCGGCGGGGGCCAGCGAGGGGGTGCGGAGCGTGTGAACCGGCCTCGGGCCGCTCCCGGCTCGGTCCTGAGCGCGCAGCCAACATGGCGTCTGTAGTGTTGGCGAGCGGCCGCCAGGCCCGGCCCGGCCGGTAATCGGAAACACATTGGCTCCTGAAGGGGGGCGGCGGGGGCTGCTGGCCACTCGGTCTGCAGACAGCAAACCTCTTAAACTCTTGCCTGGCAAGTGAGTGTCTTCCTCGCTTCTGTGATTAAACCCCACAGTTGGTGGGGGCAATATTGGTAGCGTAAGAAGCACCCTTCTTCCCTCCCCCCACCCAATATTCAAGAGACTTGAACTCCTGTCTCCTTTTCTTCCAAGAACCACATTTAAAAATTAAAGTCTGTAGTCACGCAAGATCTTACTCGGAAAGTCCAGGGCAGGGGGAGAAGCGAGAATGGGCCGGCCTTGGTCAGTTGTAGCGCGCGTTGAGGCTGGGACGGCTTGGAGTGGCGCGGTGGGTTTGGGGCTTGGGGGTCGCCTGGCTGTGACACTTTCAGGAGCTGAGCAGGACCTGCTGCTTGTCAGAGCTCTAGGCCAAGGGACTGGGCGGATCCAAGCGGGTGGTCGCTGGCCCCAGACTGTGGATCCCCGTGGCAGGAGCCTCTTGCAGCGGAGAACACCCTTTCTCTAATGACTTTGAGAGGGCGAGGGTGGCCCTGGCCTCCCAGAGAGGGTTTTGCAAGGGCCTCTGCAGGACAGGCATCCGGCCTGACTGGCTCGTGGAGGACCAGGCAATACCCCTTGTTTCCACTTCTAGTCCCAGCCCCAGCATGGACAATCTAGCTTCGCCGGGGCCCGGGAGGGGAGCGAGGTACTCTGTGAATTCCAGGCCTCCGTAAGATTTATTGAAGTTGGGTTTAAAAAACGTGCTTCAGATGATTTTTCCCATTTTCTCAGATTTCAAAGGCTCCCTGCAGTGCGGCTGCCTAATTAATGGTGAAATTCAACTAAATCTAATTATGCAGTAATTTTAAAGCAGTTAGTGCTGGGCGTTGGTTTGTAATAGGACCCCAGTTTTTTAAAGTTTGCTTCCAGTGTTGGTTTAGGGGAAAGCCATCTTTTGTATGGCAGAGAAAAACAGGGAAATAGTTTTGCATGTACTAAAGGGTTGAGAATCCTCCCACACCCCCACCCTACCTGCACCTCCATTTCCATTTCTATCTCTATCTCTTCCTTTCTCTCTCCCTGTCTTCTCTCTTTTCTCAGGCTTTTAGCTTGAAGTGTTAGCAAACTGTGTAAGTAAGTCGGTTCCACAGCTGGGGAGGGGGAGAGGGAGCAGCTTTTTTATAAGGAGGCACAAAGGGACTTGGTATCTGCCGGCCTGAACGCATCTGTAAAAGCTCGAAAATGGGGAAGGGACCCTCATTCCTTCTAATAGGAAACAGATTTCCTCCCCTTAACATCCATTGTCATTAAGGCGCAAAGCTGACTCTTGGAGTTATAAATCTTATCGTCTTTCTGATAACACTGTTGTAATAAGTTACCATCCTATTCAAAGGGAATTGTAAAACTGCCTCATTTAATATGGCATCTGTGTCATTAAAACTTTTATTTATTTATTTTCATTGCGACTTGCAGGCCTGGCGTTCAGGCGAGTGTCGAGGTACCTATTGGGGCTCCGGTAGGACCCGGCGAGGGCAAAGGTGTGAGAGAGGAGCTGCTTGGATCTAGCCTCTACATCTGTGGTTACAGTGAGGGACCCCTGAGGCAGAGAGGGCCTTGGGAGTTGGTGTCAGTTCTTTCCCACCCACCCCCAAGCAGCCCCCTTGGAATGACGTTCCTTGAAAGAAACATGCTTGTGATTAGCTAAGCAAACACATCTGCTTTTGGAGTTGGACCTTCGTTAATTAGCTGAACAAAGGGCCGTTTTGCTTTTTACCTTTTGCTGGGGGAGAGTGTTATTTCAGGAGTGTCTTGGGCCCTCCTCTTTTCAATTGCAACCTCGACGTTAATTTTATTGGGATTACTGATGGGAAATGAGGTGGTGCAGGTTTCCAAGAGGAAAAGCTTGATCATTACCCCATTGGAACTATATTTTTCCACCCAACCTCCTGCTCGCGAGGAGGCGAGTGGGGGGCCAACTGCGCAGCAAGTTCAGAGCGATGGGAATCAGGCTCTCGGTATGCTGATCTCGGGTGACAGAGCGTGTGTTGAAGCTGAACTCTGTAATTTGCGCTTCTGTTCCTTTATTAGGCCTGGACAACGAACTAATGAGCTTTGGCCCAGCACAATGTCACTTGTATTTATTTTCTTATGGCAACTTTGAGATAGCGGAAGTGTTCCTTACCAAGGGACAAGGCAGGGCCAAGAGTCCTGATCACAGCTCTTGGGCCCGGCTGGTGGCTGCGTCCCGCGGGAGAGAGGCTGGAGCGAGAGCATGCACTGAGCAGACAAAATTGGGGACTGGGCCTATAGACGAGGCCCTAGGACACTGGGGAGATGCTGGCCTCATTGGAGGCTCAGGCAGTCCTGCAGCCCATTTCGCTAAGGATGAGTTCTAGGGAAGCAGGGTAAGCCTAGTGTTGGGTCTCCAAGCGCGAGCTGGGCCGAGACACAAAGGTGGAGGTTCCATCCAGGCCAGGAAGCCCTGGGAGTGAGTGGATCTTTCT